TAACAGTTAAATATATTTTACTGGAAATCTTTACTTGTTTTTTTTTTTATTAGTGTACTCAAAAAGTGAGTACACTACTAGAATCGGTCAGTGTGTCCGGCCGGCCGTCGGTTTACATGATAACTTTAGAAAGGAGAGTCCGATCACGATGAAATTTTCTACACGGTTCAGTCTTTAGAATATCTCGGTGGAGTTCGAAAATGAGAAGGATTGGCCGAGCCGTTCCTGAGTTATTGCAAAAATACCCATTTTCTCCTATAGCTTCCTATGGAAAAATCGACCCATCCCCGCTTTCGTAAAAGACTTTTCCTATCATAGTCAACTAAAACCCCAACTATTATATACCATTCGATAGAGAATTTCAAGAGCTACAAAATAATATATAAAACATAAAGAAGCAAGAAGGTTGACTCACCTATCACAAGGATACTAAAAGAGAACTAGATTATATTTTGGTCCACTATCTAATTGATCCACAAACAGAGCTTTATCTTCCGATCACAGTAATGATACTTCGAGGTTTTTAAAGATGGAGAACTCGAATGTGTACTGCACTTCCATCGAAATACTATTAGTTGAGCAGTGACCAATAGAAATGAAGTTACAGGAAAAACGACTTTCTTAGGGTAAATCAAGGGAAAGAGTTCAAACTTGAGCTGTATTCGGTCCCATGTCCTATTGGTTTGGCAACGCACAATAGAAAACAACATTTTAAATGGTAGATTTCACAGTATAATTTTGATATTCAGACAGTCTAGGATGATTGATTTGTATGATTCACTTTTTGAAGTACACATAACTCTCGGATTTAAATCCGAAGTTTCCGCATTTATTTTGTTTTATTTTTTCAACGGCCCAAAATAGATAAACAGCTCAACTTCAACAGTTTCTACGAGTTATGTGTGTTTCAGCAACATCTGATTTATTTAATTGCATCCATATTATTGATGTTCATTCCCACTTTGACGAGCTTTGGAACAACTAGCCTTGCTTCGACTCAGTTTCCTTTGCTAGCGCCTGAAGAATATTTATCATATCGAACAAACAGAAATTTCAAATTTGGAACATTGTTTTCCAATGAAAACGGCTTAGTCTCACTTCAGGTACTTGCCGCTGAAATCATAAAAAGGTATAAATAAATATTTCTACGTATAAGTTTTT